TTTGGTAAATGGAGGAAGAAAGAGAGAGTTGTACAGAAATGATGAGTTTCACTGGAGATGATGGGTAAGTTTCTGGGTCACGGGAACTGTTAGCTTAGGTGTTAGGAAACTAATACCAATTAGACAATCTTATTTTCTAATTAGTATTTAATTATTTTAGATATTATGTTATTTCCTTATTTTATTCTTCTTTTCTAATTAGTATTTAATTATTTTTGGTACTATGTTTCCTTATTTATTTTCTTAATTTATCTATATAAGAATGCTATTGTAATAGAATTAGGGTATTGAATTGAATAAAAATTAATAACTTTGATGGCTAATCCCCAATTCAAAGGATTATTGATGGCTGATCTCCAATCAACGGATCATTTTGGGGTTTAGTACCCTAACATCTGGTATCAGAGCATTCGATCTAAGACCCCTCAATTTTTTTTTTTTTTTTTCTTTTTTCTTCTCTATTATCTTTACTTCTATTAGTGTTCTCATTATGACTGTCAAAGAACTTGGAGAAAAAATTTCCATTCTTCCCACTAGGGTTGACACTCTTGCTACTAGGGTGAATGCTCTTGCTAACTAGGGTGGACGTGTTGTCTGCCAATTTCAAAGAGTTCATGCATGATAGACAAACCACCAATGCCATCCTTCAATAAATTCATGAGATGTTGTAGAATAGGCAAGAGCCTCAACCTATTCTTGATCATCCTTAACATGACGTTCGTGTTCTCCAAAACGATGTTAATCATAATCCAACTATACAATGCGATGACGATGTTGATCAGCAAGCTGGTCCGATTATTCAAGGTCGGACTCTCCGAATCAATTTTCCAAAATTTGATGGTGTTGATCCTGAAGGGTGGTTGTTTCAAGCTGAACAATATCAGCAACTCATGGTATTTTAGATGAGCAGATGGTTTAATTGGCTGCAATGCATCTTCAAGGAGATGTTATTTCTTGGTATCGTTGGATTAAACAATCCCTTGGTATTTTGAATTGGCAATAATTTTCTCGTGCAATATGTACATGCTTTGGGTCTCGACAGCATATTGACCCTTGTGGTTCGCTAGCCAAACTCTCTTAAACAGGCACTATTCATGAATTTATTACTGAGTTTGAGCAACTTGCTAATATGGTTCTGGGTTTGCTTAAGTCGCATCAAGTTAGTTTTTTCCTCTTTGGACTTCGTCCTGATATAAGTGTTGGTCTTCGTTTGCTTCGTCCGATGAGTTTAACTGACGCATTTGAATTAGCACTCTGTCAGGAAAATGCAATTATTACAACCACAACTCCAAATGTGCCAGAGACTGCTTTTCAGTTAGATTTTTTGACTTGAGGCCAAGTGATGATTCAAGAGGGGTTGAATGTTAGGAAAATAATACCAATTAGATGGTCTTATTTTCTAATTAGTATATAATTATTTTAGATATTATGTTATTTCCTTATTTATTCTTCTTTTCTAATTAGTATTTAATTATTTTTGGTACTATGTTATTTCCTTATTTATTTTCTTAATTCATCTATATAACAATGTTATTATAATAGAATTAGGGTATTGAATTGAATAAAAATTAAGAACTTTGGTGGCTAATCCCTAATTCAAAGGATTATTGGTGGCTGATCTCCAATTAACGAATTACTTTAGGGTCTAGGACCCTAACATTGGGGTCCGTTGGTCTGAAGTGGGCTTCACCGGATTTGGGCTCGCTAGACAGAACTGGGTCTTGTAGTTTGAAGCTTCGTCAAACTAATGGCTCCAATTTTGAGTGTCGTCGTGGGTTAGATCCTAGGCTCCACTTTTGAGCGCCATCTTGATGTCGTTGTTGAAGGCAGAGAGAATCAACTGAGCAGCGAGAGCACTCACTACCGCCTTCGTTGAACAACTATTGCCACCACCGCCGTTAAGCCCAATGTGTGACTTATGTGCTCCAGCGTTGTGTAAGTTCACCGACGGAATCGAAGGATGAAGGTTGCGGATCCATTCACCATCACTGCCTGTATATACATATATATATATATATATATATGTGTATGTATATATCTATGTGTATATAAATATATGTGTGTGTGTGTGTGTGTGTGTGTGTGTGTTGGTGTTGGGCGGAGGAAGAGAGAGCAGAGAGGAGAGAAGAAAAGAAATGGGAGTGGGTTTCTGAGGTTAGAAACGTCATTTCATGGTCAATATAAAAGTCAAATGGTAAAAATGTCAATTTATTACCATTGGGGTGTCTTTGGCAACCGTATCAAACTTAAGGGGTGTCTTTGTCCCAAAATAGACTAAGTTTCAACTGTGTGTTCTTTTAGCAAATCTCAAATGGTGTTGTTGTACTTTACCCCTTCAGTAAAAAATACTTTACAAACCTACTTATTGGAGTGGGGCAGGCTCATGGTACTCCGATATACATATTGTTTATGAAAAAAAATTCAATATTAATTAAATTTAAGATAAATCTTGTAGAAAAATCTTAGTATGGACAAATACTCCACTGTCATAATTATAAATTTGTTGTTAAAATTTAAAATCATTATGTAAAAGAATTAAAATGAAAAAAAAAATTTAACTAATAAAAATTATTTATTTATATATTTATTATAAAATTGGTTGTGTTTTTTAGCTAATGAAAAAGAAATTTTATTTATCATTATAAGTCAAAATATTCTAGCTAAAGAATATTTATTTATATAGCGGGAAATTCTTTTCAACCCCTGTAATTATTTTAAAGTGAAGGCTTGCATTGCGGGTTATGTTGACATTCCTAATCAAAAGTAGAGAAACAAATAAACTGGAACATTGTCATTAGGGCTGCAAATGAACCAAACCGAGCCGAGCTTTGGGTTGCTCAAGCTCAGCTTGTCATCTTTGGAGAGGTGCTCGGGCTCGGCTCGGGCTCGGGCGAGTTTCATGAAGCTCGGGCTCGTTTATATACACCCTCCAAATTTGCTTCCCAACCGTGCCTTATATGCATAAACAAGACGTATCAGATTCAACAACAACAACAACAACAACAACAACAAAAAAAAAAAAATCAGAGATATGTTAGAGATTCGGATAACATATTTCTACTAAGATCTGCAACGAGAGAATTTTCCATAGAGGGCAGCCAAGAACCAAAGCATCTGTGAATTTTTTTTTTTTTTTCCTACAAAAATTTCAATATACTCAAGTAGTAGAATGAATTCCAGATTCAAGAAAATAACTAATCTCTTACATGAGATCGCATCTAAATCTCCAAGAAAAAAAACAAAATACAAAAAAAATAAAAAAGAACAATTTTACAGAATAAAAATAAAATATTACCAGGTTTCATACCGTAGTTCCATCTTAAGATCCGTTTGAGAGATAGCTATGTTGCTTCTAGAGTGATGTCGGCAGAATTTAGGTTGGTGTTGATCCGAGAGAGAGAGGGAGAGAGCTGACTTATGCGTTGTGTCTTGTGGAGAGTTGTCGGCAGACTATGTGGCTGTAGTGTTTTTAGGGTTTAATTCTGATCTCTGAACTCAACGGCTGAGATGGTGAGATGAAAGGATTTAACTAACGGCTAAGATGGTGAGATGTGGATGAAGGGATTTAAGTTGGGCCTGATTAACGGAGGGATTTAAGTTGGGCCTGATTAATGAAAAGATGTGAGTTGAGTACGAGCCTTATTCACGAGCCTCATACGAGCCTTATTCATGAGTCTTGTGGAGAGTTATCCGCAAACTATGTGGCTGTAGTGTTTTTAGGGTTTAATTCTGATCTCTGAACTCAACGGCTGAGATGGTGAGATGAAAGGATTTAACTAACGGCTAAGATGGTGAGATGTGGATGAAAGGATTTAAGTTGGGCTTGATTAACGGAGGGATTTAAGTTGGGCCTGATTAATGAAAAGATATGAGTTGGGCCTGATTAATATATATATATATATATATATATATATATATATATATATATATATATATATATATAACGAGCATGATACGAGCCCTATTCACGAGCCTGATACGAGTCTTAACGAGCCCATGTTCACGAGCCTATGCGAGCCGAGCCCAATGTTGTTCGGGCTCTGCTCGTTTACTAAATGAGCCTATAAATTGGGTTCAAATTCAACTCGTTTGCTTAATGAAGAAGCCCAAACCGAACCTGAGCTGTACAGCTCGATTCATTTGCAGTTCTAATTGTTATAGTAGTTCTTATATAGACAAATTAAATTTATTTACCATTCATAATAATAAAGATTCAGAAGTTAGGAAACCGGATGAATTTTGCAGAATACGTATGAGATCTAGAAATGTATATGAAGCCAAGAAAATGACATCTTGAGAGCTGCAAAGTGGCAATACCAGCTTGCTCGTGTTTCACCAAAACGTAAGTGGTCCAAAAGCTTTGATGTAAACATGACATGTAACAAGATTATCTATGCATTGTTAAAAGATATAGATATAGTGAGTGATAACTGACTACTTTAATTGATTCCCACCCCACCGGCACATGCACCGTTTTCAATGTTTCAACTAACTTTCAAATTTTCCAATTTTAACACTCATACTACATCAAAATCCAAACTCTCTCTCAATCTCTCCCATACAAACCTTACGCCCCACCTACAATCTAATTGGTTTTGTACCATGCTAGAATCACATTTCTTCTTCTTTTCTGTATTTTATTGTGAGACCCACACTGTCTCACTCGCAATTGCAGTTGGGTCAACTAAATAAAATAATAAATCTAAAAAAACCATTATGATTGGAATGGATGAATATGTGAGGGTAATTAAATAACTTAGTGAATTTATTCTAAAATAATATTTGCGCCACAATACATATATTTTGCGATTTCTCTCTTTAGACCTAATAGTTTGATCGTATATTAGATTGTTACTTTGTGTGATTTCAATAATCGAGTTTGTATGATGTGATTTGGTGAATTAATTCTAAAGTCTCATTTTCGCATACCCTTAAAACACTTGAATTTTTATTACGATCATCATATGATGTAAATTTAATAGTCATCTTGGTTTTGGTAGATTCTGAGTAATGGGAAGTACAAGGGTGTGTTCCATAGATCAACTGTGAACAAGGAGAAGGCAAGAATGTCATGGCCACTATTCTTGGAGCCACCATCAGAGTTTGTAGTGGGGCCACATCCCAAGCTTGTCAATGAAGAGAATCCCCCAAAGTACAAGACCAAGAAGTTCACTGACTATGTTTACTGTAAGCTTAACAAGATTCCACAGTGAATTTAGGAGATGAAGCTGCATGTGTGTGTGTGTATATATATATATGTTGCAACTTGCAAGCCCTCTTTAGGTCTGGGGGATAATGTTCTCTATTCATGTTCTTCTCCAATTTGAAAAGGCATTTTGTATGATTGTGTGTATGTTGTGTGTGTGAACAAAATTTTGTATGCTACTAAGTGAAAAATATATTGAATTGCTTTGTCATATGTATAGTTTGGCAAAAGTGAAAGTGAAGTAGGGAAATTGTCAATGTTTATTATACTATATACTTGTTAAACAGGAGAGATCAGGAGTTCGAATAAAGTTGGTTGAAAATAACTATTTTATGTAAAAGTTTAAACACAAAACTGGTATGTGTGAGTTTATTGTCAAGGTTAAAATTAATATATATATTTTAAAAAACCACTTCTTTGTTGTTCAAGGTTCCCTTTAAAAAAGAAAACTGGCTCGCTCACCGCTCCTATGTTTAGCATTAAAACTTTACCTACAAGCGTAGCTAATTGAGTAGTTCTTCAACAACTGTCGTAGAACCTACCTAAATGTATATGCATATATATCACATATATATACCAACAAATATACTGTATTATACCATCACATTTTATTTGAATCTAAACTGAGCAGACAACATGGCATCTTCGATCCAATCAACTCGAAGAATTTAAAAGTAAAATATATTTTAAAGCTGAATTGAATCTTGATAAAAAATAAAAAAATAAAAGATCATGTGCATGAGTCCCAAGGTCATGTAAATTCAGACCTGGCATTTTCTTGGTGTCGGAATAATGCATTGATTATAAAGACCATACATAGATAGGTCGGTGCAACAACAGGGTTGCAAATGAACCGAGCTGTTCATGTGGCTGCAAATGAATCGAGCTGTTCATAAACAGCTCGGGCTCGGCTCGTTAAGGGCTCGGCTCGGGCTCGTTCATTAAGCAAACGAGCCGAGCTTGAGCCCAATTTCTAGGCTCGTTTATTAAACGAGCCGAGCCTAAGCAACGTTGGGCTCGGCTCGTATAGGCTCGTGAACATAGGCTCGTTAAGGCTTGTTAGGGCTCGTAAACAAAGCTCGTATCAGGCTCGTTACATATATCAGGCCCATTCTATATATATCAAGCCCATTTGTTTTTATTGTACATTTAAAATGTTTAGTCCATATTATTTTTAAGTTTGGACCAGCTCATATTTTTCATTAATATGGCCCAAGCATTATAACTCATTAGCCCAAAGAAAATCCACCATAGATCCATAGCCCAAATAAGATTTCGTCTCACCTATTAAATTAGAACCCATCTCATCCATTGATTTTGTAAGATATCAAGAAACCCTAAAACTACACCCCACCATTCAGATCTGCCTCTTCTCCACAACATCGTCAGTCTCTCTCTCTCTATCACTCACTCACGAGTTACGAATCAACTCCACCGGCGACGACAACCCTTCCATCTACACAACTACCTCTCTGTCTCTCTCTAATCAACTCAATCGCCATAACTCTCTCTCTCAGATCTGAATGCATCGTCTGTCATCGTCATCGTCGGCTGCGGTCCTCTGTCTTCACCATGGACGTCGTCCGTTTCCCGCCGTCGTCTGTGCCGCTTTCCCTCCATCCTCGTCATCATCGTTGGCCATCCTCTGTCCTCGCCATCAATTAGGTACTGCATCAATTAATTTTTTGGCAAAACTTTATTTTCACTTTAATTCCATGGATCTGGACAACCTCAAAACAATCTTTAGGCAGTTGCAGACAATTTTGTTTAGCCTTTTCTTCTGCTTCCTCGAAATTTATGAAGACTAATGCTCAATGGCCACAGGTATCTAAATTAATTTATCTCCAACTTATTTTCCTCTATGATTTCTTTTTCTACTTAATATATACAATGTTTCAGTGGTTCTATAGATATTATTATCATGGGAATTTATAACTTTTTGATGTGTTGTATTTTTATAGAAAATGCATAATGCACTCATGCTCAATTTTGTCCTTTTTTCTTTTTGTCGAAATTAACCCTTAATTTGTTCTTGAAACATAAAAGCTTGCACTACTGCACCTTTTTTTTTTTTTTTTTTTTGCCCTTTTCTTTTTGCTTATGTGATAATTGATAAAGTAATGGAAAAAGGCATTGTGGCCTGTAGAATACTAATTAATTTTGAATTTTATATTTATTTATTTTTTTTGTTAAACGAGTCGAGCCCGAGCTGAGCCCGAGCTTTTAAAATCAAGACGAGCCCGAGCCCGAGCTCAAATTTTTGAGCTCGTCACGAGCCGAGCCCGAGCCCGAGCTGATCCCATAAACAAACGAGCCGAGCCTGAACAGCCTAAAGCTCGGCTCTGCTCGGCTCATTTGCAGCCCTATGCAGCAATTTCAAATCTCGTAGGGATATTAACTCCGGCTCATGGTGTTGGGAAACGTGCTAATTTTAAAAACTTTTCGAAGGATTTTAATTCATAGATCTTGATTCATTACATAGAGACAAGTTTTATGCAAAAATAAAATATGATGTATCATTCAATTAAAAGATTGAATACTTACATCAAGGTTTGAGTAAACCTTAGATCTCTCCTCTAAAGTGAATGTTCTCACTTATTGTAGATCCCTTTTGCTAGACACCTTTTCCATGAATCTCCATCTTCTTGGTAATGGTCTTGCCTTTAGGAATCACTCATAAGCCTCCATGAATGACCTTGAAAAATTAGGCTTGTGGGAGCCTCCATTAGATAAGAACACTAACCCTAATTTTCTAGAGAGAGAAAATTTATTCCTTTTTCCTTCTCATAAAAATCACCCCTAAAATATACATAGGCCATGTATATTTATAGGCAACATAAAAATAAAAATAAAAAGGAAACAACAAATCCTTCTCAATCTCTAATTCATATGTCTCAAATTTAATATGATTCCAATATCAAGTTGGGCTATGAGTGAGAATCCATTGGGCCTATTATTTTATTGGCTACAATGAATTAATAATTGGCCCGGTCCATGGACCCAATTCAATTAATTCATAAATTAATTTCTACTCCACTAAAAGAAATTAATTGAACTCCAATTAAATAATAAATAATCTCTAAGTCAATATTGCACTTTGACCCCTCTATGCATAATTAGTTATCGGATAAATAAAACCATCAATCCGACTACTTAATTAATATATTTATTTTGGTACCATTGATTATTTCTGGCTCGATCACAATAAAACATTTGTTTGACAAAAATAATAATTTAATAAATAAATATATAATAAATCATTTTGCCTAAAACCATACGAAGGCCTTCGAATTTACTTTGTGATCAACAACAATCAATACAAAATAAATACAAGTAGCAATGATGTAAATATTGAAAATATAAACCTCTAACTATTAATCACATAACTACCCAAAGTGTCGGTCTAAGGATCCCGAACAATCCGCCGAACAAATCAAAGTAATTATTAATTAATAAAAGAGTCTATAATTTTCTCATGTTTAAGAGTCAAATGCCATGACGATGATAGGGAGCAATTGCATACGACGGCTCTCGCAATATATCTCAACCTAACGCGGATCCAGTTGAAGTCTTAATTAATTATGAGTCCATCCATAATTACCGACTATGAACCATTTATGATTACTATTTATATTTATGTATTGATCGTTATCACATACATATATAAATATCTCTTGTAATCAAGTGGACACTATCAATTCTATAATGAATCGAAATATAATACATTGAATTCACCAATTGTATAAAATATAAATATTTCAGAAACGTCAGGAACATATGTCACTTTAATCCAAACAGGAATTTGCTATGCCAGGATATATAAATCCTAACAGCTCCCACTTGCCCTCATAGCCAATTCAAATTGCACCTAACTCTAATGTTATCCAGATGTTGATCAAAATTATTGATCAATGACACCTTTCATAATGAATCAACAAAGTTGTATTCTAATGCAATGTTCTAGCTACAAGTACATTTTTTTGCCGGACAATATCATGTAGAACATGATACTTCCTCTCAGTGTATCTTGTTCCTCTATAGAACCTTGGGTCATTATTTTGGACTACTTCTGCACTATTGTCGTAACATAGCTCAATAGGCAGGCTAGTATACTCCACAACCTCTAAATCAGTGATATCAAACCAATAGGCTTCTTTTGCGGCCTTTAAGGCTGCAATGTATTCCACCTGTAGGCTTGAGTCAGCAGTTGAAATCTGCTTAACAATCTAACAACTGATTTCCATTCCATTAAGTGAACATACACTAAGTCATGAACCTCATAGTATCTACTTTTGATTGAAAATCAGAACTAGCATACCTGACTAGGGCTATATCATCACATCCATAAATGAGTATGATATCCTTGGTCGTCCTTAGGTACTTAATGATATTTTTCACAACAGACCAGTTATCAAGTCCAGTATTGGACTGATCTCTACTGACTATCCCTACTATGTAACGGATGTCCTGTTTGGTATAGACCATGGCATATATGAGACTTTCATATGCCGAAGCATATTGTTCCAGTCTCATTTGCTCAATCTCCTTTGATAGTCTTGAAAAACTACTTACTAGAGAGAGCCATCCATATCAATAAAGTAAGAACTCATTCTTTGAGTTATGCATACCAAACCTGGTCAAAACTTTATCAATGTAGGATTATTAAGATAAGCCTAATTTCCTTTTAACCTGATCTTGCAAAAGCTTGATCCTAGGAATATAACTTACATCTTGAAAATCCTTCATTTAAAAGTAATTGAACAACTACCTCTTTATTGATGACAAAACTTCCACATCATTCTAAATGAGTAGGATGTCAACAATATATATATAAAATTAGAAAAATAATGACATTCCCTTGTACACTTATGATTTATTCACTAAGAAATCTTCTGATATCCTTTTGTAGATTAACTTGCCTTCCATAGGTATCACCTTACTAGAAAGTTCTTCAAGATCCCAGATTTAATTAGTATACATAGATTCCAACTCTGATTTCATAGTAACTCGCCAAAACGATCTGTATCCATATCGGTTCACGCTTCCGTGTAGCTTATTGGGTCCAGCTCATGTTTAACAGGGATGTCCATAATGGTCTCACCTAAAAACATGATTCTGTCGGATTGGATGATAATCCTCCCACTACCTCAATGTACCGATGCAGGAATCTATGT